GACGCGGGGACCTGGCTGCTGTCCGGGCCACTCCATCGCCGCTCAGCGCCCTGGGGCCCGGCTCTCCCCATCCTCGCCCCCCGCTGCCTCGCCCCCCGGCCGCTCGGGCCCTGTCGGGTGAGTTAAATCGGAGGCCAGCTGGACTGGACGGTCCTCGCGAAAGTAAAAAAGGCATAAAAAGGAGGGGGTGCCGGGGGGCGGGGTCGGGGGGAGAGGCGCAGAGACGGGCCAGGGGCCAGGCAGCCGTGCCTCCCTCTACGCCTCCCTGGGCCCTCCCACTGCTCCCAGCCTCGGTTTACCCATCTGTGATCGTCCTCGTCTCACATGGGTGTTGCCGAGTGTAAAGGAGATCGTGGGACACAGAGCGCTCAGCAGAGCTTTTTTAATGGCATTTTTTTTTGTTAACGACATCATTATTATCGTCATTATCGGTGGTCGTGGGCAAGCGAGGGAACCTCTAGACGGTCGTACGGGGTCCTTGCCATCGGGGGGACGTTCACCATAGTTACGGCACCAAACACCCCCGTCTGCCAAGGAAACAAAATGCTTCGAACCAAGTGTTTATGATGAATTAAGGAATTAAGCAAAGAAGGCTTCCTGGAGGAGGCGGGTTTAGGGCCGAAACTAGAAAAGCAAAGCGGACTGACCCATGGGGCCTGCAGACAGACGCCTGGTCTCGGGCCGCACCTGCGACAGCCTCCTAGTTCCACCGCTCTGGGTCCGACTGTCCCCCTGTGCCTCGAACCCCTACGCGGACCCCGCCACCTCCTGCGGCCTTCCCGTCCGCACAGGCACCGTGAGACCGCGGCTGCCCGTGGAGAGCGGTGCCCGCGGCCGGGCTGTCCCTGCTTCCGTCGCCGGTGTGCTCCAGGACAAGACAGACGGCTTCGGCCGGGCGTCCTCGAAGCCCAAGGCCGGAAGGAGCCGCTGCTGCTCTGAGCTGTCCTGAGTCTCTGGGCATGGGGTGGGGGGGGTCACGGTCCCCTGAGTGAGCGCGGCAGAGGCGGACGTGCCCGGCTTCCGGCCTCGGCCTGGCCCGGCGTGGGACTGAACGACGACGTTGCTTCCCCTCGGCGACTTCTCCGTTGTCACCTTCTCTTCTCCAGGGCTTTGGTCCCGCCCAGCGGGAAGCGAGGGAAGCGAGGGCCCTCAGAGTCACACATCACCCTTCTGAGGGTCGCCGTGCGCCCAGCAGCTTTCCCGACGCTGCGGAGTCACAGGGAGCCACCTAGACCTTCCAACCCCGCACGGACCGGCGCAGACGCAGCGACAGAGAGAAGCTCTGGGGAAGCTGAGGGGCAGGCGTCAGGGACACCACAGGGGTCGTGCTGTCCCCCGACCCGAAGGACAAGGGCAGCAG